CGTTTTTCTTCTCTTTGTTCCTGAACAAAACCTGATTTCTTTCTGAGGGAGCTGGGAAAAGCAAGACTTATGCGACCAATATGTTTCCCAACCCCTCCCATGAGAGAGGGCACACCCAATATTATCAAAAAGCAACCCCTGTACCAGTCACAGCGCCAGATGCTTGAAGCTGCTTTCTTACTGCGGGCTCCTTAACACAAAATAAAACAGACCCCCAACACAAAGGCTTCCTTCCGGTCCCCAAGCTAAAACACAACTCCCACGACAAGTCGTACCATTTCAGAGCTTTGAGATAATCCTAACCAAACCGTCTTCCATTTCAAGGTTTTGTTTTGTTGTTGTTGTTTAAACACAAAGATACTAGATAAAGGCCAGGCAAATTCTGGTACTTTTTCTCAGAGGGTTCCGAGTCTCAGTGGCACCCCCCACCTCTTCCTGTTCCTTCTTTCGGTGGGTCCCTAATTGCCAGTGGTTCCCAGCTGCATTGCCTCCCCGTTATTCTTAGCGATAGGATGACTCTGATGGGTAATTAGCTCATGCCATTATCTTTCTGCTCAAAATGTCTCACTTGTGTATTTAATTAGATATTTGCACACCGTGCCTGTGCTACTATTGTTGCAATTTGCCCATCATTCCAAAGATGAGGCTCCACTGACTCTATGTCACTCTTCCCCCCTTTTGGGGGCTGGAAGGCTGAAACGTAGCAGCTTTATTTACCGCACACATGGGCTTAGAAACCACCGGAAAGAGAACTAATGAACCTGGGAGTCTATTTAGAAAGGACGAAACACGAATCTGGCAGATGCGATGTTTTAAATGGTTTGAGGCATGGGGCACAGGTTAGGGAGTTTCTGAGGCAGAAGTGAAAGAGATCAATTTGGTGATGGGGGAATTTTATTCCAGTGAAGTAAGAGGGAAAGACAGAAGGGAGATGAGAGAAGTGCTTTTCTGCAGCTCCTTGATTTTATACAGAGCAGGAAAATTATCTACTCTTTGCACTTTGCCCCTCCCCCACTGCCATATGCTTCCCTAAGGTTTCCTTTCTCCGTACTTGAAAGGACCACAGATTTTAATAGTATTCATGCATTTGAAGTGTGAGGCTATTCCTGGCTTCCTGTTTTTGAATTTATGGTGAGGAGGAATTTTTAAAATCCAATAAGATATGGTAATATCCAGTCTTTATATGATGAGGTAAAAATAAAATAAACGATTATTTAATGAAAAAAAAATAATAACATGAACTAAATGGAAGTTGAAAAAAGAAAAAAGGCAGTTGACCTTACATAAACTGAAGTTCAAGATCACAACCAGATCCAGGGACTGAATTATAGGCCAGTCTCCTTCAACGACTAAGCCGAGTTTAGTTGGTTACCACTGTGAACACGAAATTGTAGACACCCCAGGGGCCTGCACACGTTGAAGCAATGTCATTAAAAGGTCAAATTCACTTAGAACACCTTGAATTCAGATGTAATAGTAAAAGCAGGCCCAGAGCTAACACACAGGGGGAGTCAGGACTACCTTTTCAGAGGAATATTTGCAATATAATCTGTATTTCTGCCTGAGACATCACACTAGTCCGTGAACGGCAGCTTCAGCACTCAGAGCCACTACTATGTCAAGCAGAGGAATGTTCTTCCTCTGTTGGGAAAACTACATTGCCGTCAATGGGCAGAGAGTAAGACAGGAGGCAGGTGACTGGGGACAGTGAGGGGACACAGCCCGCTGTGGGGAGCTCTGGCAAACCAGGGGCATGTACAACCCATCATTCCCGTGGAGACAAAGACTCCTCTGACCCCTGCTTTCCGCAACCCCCGACCCAAACCGCTTTTCCCTTCCAGATCCTCTCTAGAAGATCATTTTAATCGCAATTTGTGAAGGTAACTGCAGGGCGAGGGAATGGAACGGGGCGGGGGGGGGGGGGGTGGCAAGCCATATCTCAGCTCCACAGGATTGGACCCTGAATTTGCACCCTATCAGGACCAGGCTTCTCCCTTTCCTGGAAGGAAGGCAGGGTGAAGAGGCAGGCTCTATAGCAGGCAGACCTCTTTTCCAACCGTGCACCAACCGTTTACCAGGTGTGGCCTTGTGTGTATCTTTTTTTAACACGTTTGATGTCAATTTCCTTATTCATAAAACGCATGTTATGGATTAGAAATAAGTGTATACACTAGGTGATCAAAACATGTAAAGCATGTGGGAACACTGACGGCCAGAGGCCCGAGTCAGCAACCCCTTTGTTTCTGCCTTTCATCCTTGCTTCCAAGATCGCACTCTGCACAAAGAACAGAGGCTTGAACTGGAAATCACTACACTGACTCCTGGCGCCCCTCCTCTCTTTCCCTGCTTTCCGGCAAATGGCAGCCACTGGCACTTCCGTCGTCCGGGCCACCTGGATAAGAAACCGGTAGAAATGAGGTGTCCTGTGCTTGCTAGCACCCACTCAGTAGCCAAGGTCAAGCCGGGCTGGGGTTCCCAGATTCCTTTTGCCCCACCGTTCCCAGGCCATTCCCAACAGCAACCAAGGTTCCTGGGCCCACAGTACCCCCTGATGGCTAACACGGGGAACTTTCTTTACTCAAAGGCTCTTCTCTCAGGGCAACTCGCCCAAGCTTTCACAGATCACTGCTTTGTTCGTTCCATCACAGACCACTCATTTCTCACAAACGTGTGGTTGCCTAAGCTGTTTTTGTTCTTCACTTTTTGCTCAATGATTTCAGAAACGTCTATCTCCCTCCTTGCTTTTTACCCCTTATCTTACTCCTTTTATGAGTCCCCAAATCATTGCGGTTAGGGTTGCTAAGTGTAATTGTAGGATAAGGACATCTGTCTGTCCAAAAAAAAAAAAAACACCCTAAGAAACCTCCATTCATTTAGAAGTAAACTACGACATAGCGGAGAACCACAAGCATTAATCTCTAAAGCCCTTTGAGATATCCAGACTTCCTCAGAACTTGCACAGAAGATGCCATTCACCCCTGGCTCTTTCTCCAAGTAACACTGATCTTTGCTCGGCATCCTTACCATTTTTCTATTTACTTAATTGCTAAAATTGTACTAGTTTGTCCCCTACTGTTTCATTGCAAACACAATTCGGCTCCAATAAGGGTTAAGTGCATTCCTGTGGGCTATTCTGGAAACCAAAGCACAGTCTTTCAGCATTAGTTCTCTATGGGAAAGTGAATTCAAATCTCCAAGCAGTTGCTTTAGGAGGAACTTTTGGAAAATCTACCTTTTGTAATTCAACACTGGAAATTTTGGGCTGGGAGTGTTCAGTTTTTAAAAATTCATACTGATGTCTGTATTCTCTGGTTTTCATCTATTGAACCATGACATCTACTGGGATTAGCACTTAGAAAGGTATTCAGATGTGACTTATCCGGGCAGACATTGGTTCTTCTTTTATCAAAGGAAAAATATACTAACCAGATCCTGATTTGGTATGTTATGGGAATGTTCTAGAAGGTTACAAAATTCATGTCCCTGACTATAGATTGCTTCCCAGTAAAAAGGCATTAACATATCTTAAAGTATAAATATTTATTTCCCTTAACTTAAATTCAAATAATATGAATGCTTTATGTCTTTATTTATCAAGGCTTCAGTTTTAAAGACTTTGAAAAATACAAATGATTTTGATATGGATTATTAAAAATGCCATTAATTTGATGCTTAATTCTTCTGAATGAGGAAATTTATTCTCAAGCTGGAGGTGAGTAATCAGAAGCATCTAAAATCCCAATCAAACAACTAATCGTTTTATAATTACAAATTAACATCAAGTGGCTTAATTTTTCTAATTTCTAATAAATTTAAAAGTTAAAGCTTGTAAAAATTGGGATGAAATAACTGAGTTATGGTAACTGAGCTATTGTGACTATATATAGATACATATGAAAGACATAATTTGAAAATGCTTTTATAAAATATTTTCCTTATTTGGTCATAATTCAAGGTAAGCCTTGCATACAATTTTTTCTTTGAAATGATTTCCATATTGAAAGAATTGAAATTATTTTCTCTTTTAAAAAAAATGCAAATCGGTTAAAAACAGGTAAATACCACCCATCCAATTTCATTAAATGCTGTGAAGATGAATTTTCTACATACATTCTAAATGCACTCTAATGTAACAATAACGAAAAATGAGGTCATAAAATAGTTGTGTGGTATTTTATAGCAAAAGGTATTTTAAGTGGTTGATCATCCAAGACCATTATTTGAGTCCACATTTTTCTGAAAAGAGATATTTGGTTTGTGATAATGTATACCTTTTGAATTCATAGAGTTTTAGAGGTACAAATGAAAACATCCAGTGTTAATGCTTTTGAAAGCATTACGTTTAAATTATTTTCTCAGGACCCACAGAGAAAACACCAGAGGAAACAGAACCAGCCTGAACTGTTTAAAATGTATTTGCCCTTTAATTAAATAAGAAACATCTGTCTAGGGATTTTGGAAATGAATGTAATCCATCCACACTCTGCCTGTCCTAGTTTGCATCCAATGTCCAATATTTTGAAAGAAAATTCTTTCTTTCTGTAAAGAATTAAACAGCAACATGGAGCGATGTCTGGGTCTATAGCAGCTGAGTCTTGCCTCCGGAGTCTGGGCACTGGAAACGCTAAGGATCTGTCTTTTCCCAGATCTGTCCTTGGGAAGCAACCAAATTCTCTCCATAATCAAGATTAGGGTGGAACGCTTGTATGTCTTCAAAGCATCCGCTCACCCTGCAACTGCTCATCTTGGGGCAGCAAGGAAACAGAAGTTACTAGGACATATCCAAATACTCAAGGTCAAAATACCAAGGTTCCCTGTCTGGGGTTCACCGTTCATTTTCCTCCCCTTCACTCAGGCTCGAGTGGAGGGACCTGGACAGCCCACAACACAAACTCATCAGACGGGCCGCATGAGGAGAAACAAAGTGGGGGAGTTAACTCCACGATGGCTCTGGTTCTTTGAAACGAGGACCCACGTTGAGAAGGACAAAGATCACTTACTGGTGTTGTCAAACGGGATCTGCTTGCACTGTGCAGACCCCTCGGCGGGCCAGGGACAGTAATAGACCGCTCCCCCTTCCACGATGTCTGGCTGGCTGGTGTTGGCTTTGGGCGCCCCCACCAAGACACTCGCTCTGCGAAAGGGTTGGAGAAAAATCACTCCTTGGGAATCATGAGAGCGTGCGCGTCTGATGCAGTCTCCGTAGCCGCGTGCTCGCCGAGACTAGGGGCGGGGGCGGGGAATCGGGGGTAGAAACGGATCTCTGATGGAGACCGACTGTCAAACTTGATTTCCCGTTGGAAACCTACGGGCGCCGGAAACCTGGTTTTGAAGAGGGTGCAAATAGTCCCAATTCTTCTCTAGGTGGAGCTGTGTATGCAGTGAGATGAGAGAAGGGGAAAAAATAGCAAAGGGCAGAGCCCAGCCGCTTGCAGCAGACCGCACTTGCGCCCAGACGCTTAATTGTTACAGGCTACGCAGAAACAGACTTGGATCTGTTCGGTCCCGTTTTCCCCTTTGTACGAGGCTCGGGTCTTTGCTCGAGTCCTGGGAGCCACCCCCCTCCCCCCCGCCCCGGACTTGCGTGTTCTACACAAGTGGCACATCATTAATTTAAAGTGGCACATCACTAATTCAAAGTTCACAAGGCACATCTAGCATGGAAGGGGGGGGGGGGACAAGTGGCGGGGAGCCCAAGGGGACCCCAAGTGCGCAGCGGGACGGAATCTCAGGAACCTCCCTCCATCGGGCTGCGGGCACAGGCGCGGGTCCCCCGGGGCAGAGGGGCAGGGACCCAACCTGTGGCCGGGCTCGCCCCCTTTGCGCAAAACTCCCCGCGCGGGGCGACTTACGTGCGAGCGGCAGGTATGTGGAAGTCCACCGCGTAGCCAAAGTAGCTGCCCTCGGGGCCGCTGTACACGGTGAGCTTGTCCACGTCCAAGTTGAACGCCTGCGAGGCGGGGGTCCGCAGCACGCCCAGCGCGGCCGAGAAGCACCAGAGGGGCGCGAGCCACTGCGCCCGGCCGTCCCGGGGACCGCGGCGGGCCCGGGCAGACATCGCCCTCCGCCCCGGCGGATGCTCACCCGGGGAGCGGGAGCCCAGGAAGCCGGCGCGGCTCCTTGGCGGGCGGCGGCGGGCGGCGCTCCCCCGATGCTCGCGTCCCGGGTCGGTGCGCGCGGCGCGTCCGCGGTGACAGCCCCGGGCGCTCCGCCGCGCGTCCT